GGTCTCTGGAGCCTATGGGGTCTCTTTCTGGGCTGAATTGGGGTATCTGGGTCTTGTGGGGTCTCTCTCTGCTGGGTTGGGGTCTTTGGGACCTTTGGGACCTTTGGGACCTCTGGGGTTTCTCCTTGGGCCAGGCTGGAGTCTCTAGGGCCTCTGGAGTCTCTCTCTCGGCCAGATGAGGTTTATGGGGTCTCTTGGGTCTCTGGGGCTTTTGGGGCTTCTGGGGCCTCTGGGTTCTCTCTCTGGGTCTGGATAGAGTCTTTGGTGCCTCTGGGTTTTCTCATTGTTCAGAGTGGGGTCTCTGGGACCTCTGGGGTCTCTCTAAGAACCGACTGTGGTCTTTGGGCCAGGTTGAGTTCTTTGTGGTCTCTCTTTGGGGAACAGATCTTTATTTGATTATGGGAAACGCTAGACCGCCCCCGGGTGAATGCGAAAATGCTGGGCAGCTCCGCGGCTGGCCCGTCCGTCCTCCTTCCACTCTCCCAAACCCGGACCCTCCCAGAACTGAAGTGTGAGCTCATCCAAGTCTCTACATTGATCGGTGTCTACATGTGTCTTGTGCAAATGAACTGAGCAGGTGATGTTCATAAATTATAGATTAATTACATACTTTATTGATAAATGATTAATTGAATGTGTTAATGTGTACATAAAATTCTTTTATTACTTTAACTTATATTACTTGAATTCACTTATTCTCCGATAACTGAATAAATCTTTGTATACACTTTATTTTCATAATTTCATTATTACATCTCAGTGACTAGATACTCTTAGAACTTACTATTTGATCTCAAAAATGAGCTTTGCTGTGTTTAGAATCAGAGACAATAGATAAAAGATGACATACTTGGGTGATCTCTGTAGGACTGCAGCAGAGGCAAACTGCACAAATGGGTCACAATGAAGGGTCCTCGGGTCCTGTTCTCGTTCTCTGGTGCCAGTGGCCATGCCGTCTGAAGACAAGACTGTGTGTCACCCCAGATGCATGAAACAGTGGACACAGCCCATTCAAGGTCCACAGTGACCTCTGCCACTTACCCTGACAGGCTGCGGTGGTTGCCGAGGCCTTTCTCTGGCATCTCACTGAGTGGACATCAGTGGTTTGCATGTTTTTCTTCCATCAGACCAAGATTTCCTGAAAGATATCAGTGACAGGGTCTTGACCGCCGATGCAGAGCTGTGACTGTCCATCTGGGACGTCCTTGCTTCACCACCTTTCTCCCTCCGTAAACATGACCTTTCCTTGCGGAAACTCCGCCAAGCAGAGGATGACTTTCAGATTGGGTCATCAGAGGCCTCCACGTTCAAGGGCGTGTGTCTGGCCTGTGATCCTTCCTTCAGTTTATTCTGGAATAGAAGGAATGGCAATCACTGTAGATTGCTAGCTCGAGCTTGATGGGTTGACCAAGTGCACACTGGGCAACAAAAAATAAGCTCTCTGATTTACTTACTCGACATGGATCAAAAATGCCAAGACATTTTATTACAACAATTTCATCTGTGCCTTTCCTCCGTGCTTGTTTATAATCAATAACAAGTCTGCCCAGATGCTTATCAGACTCTTTCGTGAACTATCCAGGGTCCTTGCATGTCAGGACCTGAAAGAAACCACTTTCCTCAGGACCTTTCAGGCATTTCTGGCAAGACCCCGACTAATGGAAAAAGAAGTTTTCCTCCAGGTTTTGGCCCTTCACCAAAACGTTACAGCACCTCCCTATAAAGAGGCCTTCTGTAAGTGTGTGCAATTTACCTCCCTGGGCCATCTGAAAATCTGATTCTAAAATATCCATGTTCAGCTAAAGACGCTCACCACACACGGAACAACAGAAGCATTATCGACACAATACTCTGTCACCGTAGATGAATAAAACAGCAGACAGGGCCCACTTAAGGTCCACACTGACCTCTGCTGAAGACTACATGACATGATAGAGACATTCACGGAGCAGGTAACGATCGCGACCAAAAGCAAGGTTCACCCCCTCCTGGGGCTCCAGCCGGGGACGGGGGTGTGAGAACGGCAGGCGAGGAATCCGAGCACAGAGCGGAGCCGATGCTGCAGCTGGCACAGCCACCGCTGTGTGCACCAGATGCCTCTCTACGTCACTCGACGCCCGTCTCCCTCCGTTCCTACCTCGCCCCAAAGACACAGTCCAAGGGCCATCACCAGTGCTCCACACTACTCATCACAAGGGAATCTCAACTCCGAGCCACAGCGACACGGCACCTCACTCCCGGGAGCATGGCTTCCATTCCGAGACGAGGGGGAGAAACGGGGAACACAAGCCGGTGCGGCCGCGACGGAGAGCTGCCTGGGGATTCCTCCGGAAAGTAAAACTAGAATTACCTTACCATCTAGTAATCCTGGATGTTTATCCAGATGAGACAAAATCGCCACCCTGAAAAGACACACACCTTCATTCTAGCACTGCTCACAATAGTCGAGACATGACCACCACCTACATACTCGTCAACACTGAAGAACGTGGCATGTACATATGTGCACTGTACACGCACACTGGCCGTAAAAAATAAGGAAACCCTGCCATGGGCAAGAACAGGGACGGCCCTCGAGGGCATTATGCTAAATGAAATGAGTCAGACAAACACATGTTGTATGAGCTGACTCTGTACAAAACAGAACAGACCGGTGCTTCTGGGCGTGTGTGGGAGAAATGGGTGATTGTGATCAAGGGTCCAAACTCCCGGTCACAGTCAGCTCTGGGGACCCAACGTACAGCATGGGACCACAGTTAACGATAACTCTGCTGCATACCTGCACGTTTCTAAGCAAGTAGATATTAAACATTTTCCAGCACACACGCCAAAAAAAATAAGTCAGGTGACAGATGTGTTAACTAACCTTGCTGGGACTGTCACACGAAAACACGTGTATATAAAATCATCACGCCATACAGTGTCACACGTTAGTGTTAATACATTGTACATGAATACCGCCGATTCCGATGGAACGGCTTGGTGTCACATGACCACCTCTGGGCCAACAACTGGGGCTGCTGATTCCGAGGCCTGGAGAGCCCAGCCCTAGAACTGCCTCACGCGGACCAAGTGGACCAAGCAGGGCGAGGTGACCCAGCAGAGGGACATCGAGACGGGCAGGGGAATAATGAAAGGACACGGCTGGCACCCCCTCTCAGGGAGGGGGGCCTCCTTTCGGGACCATGGCAGGAGCATGACACGGCGTACACCCGCAGCCCGAGGACGCCTGTGCCAGCTGTCTGCGGGAAGGAGCGGAAAGTCCAGCCTGGCACACGGAGGGCCTCTGTCCCCCACGACTCAGTAACTCACATTCCAGCCCTTCGTGGCATCAACTAGCCCCAAACAGCTCCCACACACTGGGGTTCTCTGCAGACGCCGGCTCTCCGCTCACGCGCACAGACGAGACCAGGCCCGCGCAGCGGCTGCCTCCTCCCGCCGGCCATGAAAGCAGCACGTGGCATTCACGGGACTAAGTGCAGGACCGCACGCACTGCTCGGAACAGTGTTCGCTAGAAGGTGCACATTCATGCGGTCTGCATGAGACACTCTGGTCCCACTGCACACGGCAGACGCTCAGCCCTGAAGTCGGGATCACGTGCACCGGCCTCGCTTCCTGCCAGCCATGGAGCCGCCCAGCAAGAAAACGGGCTCTCCGCAGCCTCGCTCCGCAGCCTCGCTCCACAGCCCGCCCACAGGGTGTGTACCTGTGAGTCTGGCCAAGAAAGTTCTAGCAGCACTCTTCCAGTTTTGCCTAAAGCAGAGTCACAGGGACAAGGTCTTCCCCACAGACCCGCTCCGGGGACAGTCCCGGCCTCTGTGCACCCCGGCTCCT